ATTTTTGGTCTCAAGGATCAGCTGGGGGTAAAAGCCCCAATCTACAAAGGAGTTAACCCATGGCAGTGCTTAGTGTTATTGCACTTTTAGGCATTTGGATCCAGGATTAGAAATCAGAAGTCTATGCCAGGGAGCCAAGATCCCTTCACATTGAATGGGGAGAGGTAGGTGCCTCAGAATAAAAATTCACAAGATCCAGCACACGCAAGCCATAGGAAACACCAACACGAGGTTTTTGCATTTCTTTTCCTAGGAATTAGGAAACTATTGGCATCCCTGATTACATGTAGGCGCCTACATGAAACTAAGATTCATAGCCCAAAATCCATCCCAAGAGAGTGACCTAGGCTAGAGACAACACCAGGGCACTGCTTATTTCAATTCCTCCTGTTGACGCTCTCCTACTGCTTAACTGAGAATGTAGGACTTGTGAGGCCAGACAAGGAGCAAGAAGGAGAAACCTGACTACCCAGCCTTGCACTTGGTATTAAAGAACTGTGAGACAAAATGCAAAAACAGTCTCGCGTAGATACCAGAACCCAGGGCTCCCCTGTTTCAGGAAATCAGTGTTGACTGCACTGAAATCAATGTTGCCCCTTGGACGGCTTCCCCTTGTAGGGCTTCCACACAGGGATGTCTAGCTTGTAAATCCCAAATGCATGTAGATGGAAGATAGTTGCCGACATGCTTAGCTCAGCCAGATAGCAATAGCTCTAGGCATGCAAAGGAGCAGAAATATAGGCACCTAGGTAAGATTTTTGGAGAAAGCTTAGGTGTTATGGCCTCTCAGGCATCTAAGTAGTTAGGTGGGTTTTTGTGGATCACCAGCTTGGACCTGGGTGCAAAATTGTTTTTTAGATACAGTATGTCATGTCTGAAACTTGTGAGTCTATAAGAAACCCCACCGATTTCCAAAAGAATGTTGTATGTTTTCTATCCAATTACCTGAGCTCTGTCTTCATTTACTGATCACGGAAGAGTTCCTCTGAAAGAAAATCCCTTTCAAAAATGTGTTGTCTTTTGTTCATAAAAAGAAAACTTGTGACACCACAGAACACTTGAATTTTCTTCCTCTCCTCTCGTACTTTGATATCATAATCTGATGCTATTTCTGTGTCCTGGTCCAGTATTAATTTCAGCCTCTCCCCTCCTCTCTACTCTGAAGGATCTTGTTGTGGGGGCGTCCTTATCAATAACCATCTGTCTAGATATGCTGGTGCTTTGAGTCTTAGCACTCCATCTCCTACCATACTTTGCTTCTTATTAATAGACAGAGGTGCTGAATGTGGAAAGCCTATGCATTTATATGCAGATGACACTTCTATTTTCACTGAATGATGAGGTGTCCTCTCTTTCTAATTCCCTTTCCTCTGAAATGGCAAATGTGATCATCTGACTTAATGAGTACCTTTTTCTTTGTAAGACTTAATAAAAAATGTAGCTTGGCCTTTGTGTCCTTTCTTCCACTAAAAATAATCGAGTGATGCCCTCACACAGTACAGGCCAATGACTCTTCAGGGATGAGAGATGTAGAGTTTCCTTGGATAACCACTTTGTAATTGTTGATGTTTGAATAGTTAACATTTCTTATTTGCATTACTTGAGCACCCAAAATCCCTAATCAGATCAGAAACTGTGTTGTGCTGAGTACTATACAAGCACATAATAGCAACCCCATCTCAACCGAAAGAGCCTGTGAAATTGGCCTTGAGAGACGCAGGTGAATTGTCCGCATTGATCCTAATGAAGGGAAGTGGGACTCCGCATGAATGCAGTAGTCTGGCCATGTGATATCAGGCAGTAGCTCCATGCCAGGAGAAGCCATGGTGCCAATCATGGTGGCATGTTTTGCTGCCAACGTGATGATGGCTATTTTTGCACCTCCCCAAAATGACAGCATCCTGGGCTGCTGCCCCCAGTCATGCCACACTCCCCACCTCCAACCAAGTTATGCTACTGCTATCAGCTGTATAATCTAGGCCCAGAGCTGTCACTAGGGGTGTGCAGGGTTCAGAGCATATCAGCCTGTGTGGGGCCTGGGGAGGGGGAAGGCGGGGTGAGCAGCCGGAGTTGGCAACACTCAGCCGTGGCAGAGCCAGCAGTGGTCAGCAGTGGTGACACATGGCAGTCATGGTGGGGCCTGTACGGCACTATCCACAGGGCCCCCAAAGCACGGATTCATTCCCTCCCCCCAGGGGGGGCCCTGTCTAGGCTTAATTTAAGAAAAAGTATATCAACAATTCAAATTTAAGTACAAGTATGTCACATGTCTTGCAATTTCATGAATGTATCTAGTGACTACGAACTATAGCCCACATACCATTCCACCTATTAGGCATACAAGTGGGCTTACATTCCTAAGCAATTGTATTCTAATCCAAACCCCTAAAAAACAGTTAATGCAAAAGGTGGTTGGGTCCTCTTCCTTCTCACTGTTTTTTATCACTCAGTCTTAAGGTTAGGATAAGTTACAAAAGTATAGACATTCATGGATTTTCAGGGACTTGAACAGGGTGGAATAGATCACATTTAGATGCATGAATCCAATTAAATGCCTAACAGGTGAAACAGAATTTGGCCTTATGAGTTCAATTCTTATAACCTCTGGAACAGGCTACCAGAAGATGTAGCAAATTAGTCTTCTAATCAAGACTGGATGTCTTCCTAAAAGACACACTGTAATTCAATCATAAAATAAGCTAAATATATAAGGAGACATCCATGGCCTTTGTTATGCAACTGACAATGGCCAAAAATGATGAGTATAATCCTAAAATTCATGTGCCTGTGAAATCTCACAGTATCTATCAATAGGTGGTAGAGCAGGGGTGGGCAAGTATTTCAGGTGGAGAGCCACTAAACGAGGTTTGTTGAGCTTTTGAGGGTAGCCCCACCCATTGGCAGTTGCCCTGCCCCTTGGTTGCCATCTTGGGACCAGAAGTTCCCCCCTACCCCTGACCTTTGCTACCGGAAGTCCCTCCCCTTGCCGCCCACAAATACTTTATTGTGGGGGTGGGGGGTGCCATCTAAAAAACAGGAAAAAAAATTCATACACTAGAAGTCAAATGCCTACTATAACGTATTTCAATTTTATTACAAAAAATACTGTTGTCATGATCTGTGTTTTCATACTGTATGTAGAAGTGATTGCATAATAACTCAAAAATGAATTCTTAGTCTTGTATATTGTGGGGGGGTGTGGTTGGGGATGTGGGGGAGTATGAAGGGGTGTGGCTGTGTGGGGGGCATTGGGTATGTTGGGGGCGCGTGTGTGGTGTTTGTGGGGTGTGAGGACCCCCCCGATGATGCAGCAGCAGGCAGGGGCACTCAGGGTGCTGGTGCCCAGTGCAAGGTGGCTCTGGCCAGTGCTGCACATCACTGTGAGGGGTACAGCCCCCACCGGGCCATCTTTATCGCCAGCAGGCCCCACCATGCACGTACGGTCCCTACACTTCCACAGCATGGGAGGGAAGCCCCACATGCTGGAGCCAGCTGCCTTCTCCACCCCCTGATGCAGGACCTGCTGCCAGAGGGCCTTTGTCTAGCCCTTTGTCCCACCTGGCCCAAGCGCTGCCTACTCATGGTGCATCCTGCTACCCCTTGGGAACATAGCGGAGCTGGGGTGGCTCCATGGCTGAACTGCCTTTTTAGGCAGCCCAAGCAGTGGCAGCTTCTTCCAGCTGCCACTGCCACTGGTCCCAGCCCCATGATATTGATGGGGACTCACACACACAACCCTGACTTAGCCCACCCCACACCTGCTCTGGACCCATGCACCCATGCTGAGAAGCAGCAGCAGCAGTAGCAGCCAGGCAGAAACTGTTGCTCAGCACAGGGCAAAAGTGGCCTCTTCCCCTCACCACTGCCAGGCCCTTCCTGCTGCAGTCACCTGGAGCCCACATCAGGCCAGGCTGTCCTGCATCTCTGCTGCCATCATCGCCACCTCTGGGCTGCCCAGCAGGGCAGCAGGGACAGTGCAGAGCAGCCACAGGGCAACTTGGGCACCAGTGATGGCAGCAAAGATGCAAGGCAACCCTGCACGGTGCAGGCTCAGGGCAGCTGGAGCAGGAAGGGCCCGTGGCAGTGAAAAAGACAAGCTCCTTTTCTCCCATGCCAAGCAACAGTTTCTTCCTGGCAGCCGCTGCCGCTGCTGCTGCTGCTGCTCAACCTGGGTGGGCAAGTCTGGAGCAGGCGCAGGGTGGGCTGGGTCCCCACCAGTACTGTAGTGTTGGGGCCAGTGGTGGCAGCAGCTGGAAGGAGCCACCTTGGCCTGGGCTGCCTAAAAAGGCAGTCCGTCTGCAGAGCAGCCCCAGCCCTGCTGTGTACCCAGGGGGCAGCAGGACGCACCAGGGGTGAGCAGTGCCTGGGCCAGGCAGGACTCAGGGACCCATCATGGACCTCAACAAGGCCCCTCCATGGGCCACATGCAGCCCACAGGCCATATTTTGCCCACCCCTGAGCTAGAGGGTAAATAGGTAGACCATTTGAGCCTATATTTTTTTTAAATCTATGATTTACTATAGTATCTAAAATTTCACAATTGCAGCTTAATAATAGGAATCTTTTTTAATAGAAATGGGTCAGATTTCAAGGAAAGACCCTGATATTTTCAACCTCACTAACTAAAATTGATTCACTTGAAAAATATCTAAGATCTGAATTTGGTGTAAACGTGGTTCTTTTACATAGAAGGGTCATGTCCAAAGAGCAGTCTTTGATTGTTTTTTTGGCGCACACACCCAACCAACCTAATACCTATAAACTCATACAAGCCCTTATCCTGAAAAGGTTTATACATAGGTCTTTGGGTACTATAACTATAGCCTTGATTTTTGCACGGCCATATGTAAGGGACCATAGCATGTCAGCTAATTGTATGCATTTACAGAATCATAAGACTAGTAGGTGTGGAAGGGACCTCAGAAGGTCATCTGGTCCAACCCGCTGCTTAAGGCAGGATTGTCCCTGATTCAACCATTCCAGTCCAGTGTCTGTCTAACCTGCTCTTCAGAAAAGCCCATGGAATCTCCTTCTTTGAATTATAATTAGTAAAGACACAGACAGACACCAGGGAAGTAAGTTGTCAGAAGTGCAAGTTGTTGTTTTTTTAATACATATGTTCACTAGAAAGAAGCTAAAATCCATGGTCCTATACTCCTGCTTCTACAGATAATAGATCACAAATCACAGAATCCTGCATGAAAGGCAGGAGTGTGTCACAGCTCCATATGCCAGACTATACAGAATGGTATAAATATACCTGCTGAATGCAGCAATTGTTGAAACCAAAAATAGGACTTGTGAAAATAGTGCATTCATACAGATGTAGTATCTGGCTTATATTGAGTTAGATCCCACATTTACTTGTTCTTGTTGTGCTTTAAAAGTGGAATTCTATGACAAAAAGTGGTGCGTGGTTGACAGAAGTTGCCCTGCACAGAAAATTCTAAATCTGTATTGAAGGCAGAACAATTGTCAGCTCAACGGTAAGGCACATAAAATACTGTCTTCCCAGTTTAGTGCTCAGACACCATAGTGACAGACAACTGTCTAAAAACCTAGACAGAAAGATTGGTACCCACTGAATTTTCTCAAATTCTGATATCCTGTTGCTAAAGATCATAATCATGATGTTCTGCAAAAGCCGAGTGAAGAAGTTCATTGTGTTAATAGCTGATAACATTTGCTGTCAGTTCCATCAGCTCCACTTCCTTCCTGATCTGACTCCTCCTGTCTCTCTGTGACTCCAAGCTTCCCATCTTTGTTATGATATTTCTTTGCAGCACAGACATGCTCCGTCTTATAGCAATGCAGAATATTCTGAATATACTAACCGGCATATGACCTGATAAAATATAGATGAAGCGTAAGGGCAATCCTGCCTGCCTGTTTGACTTAATGAGTATATTTTTACATTTCATGTTAACTCTGCCTTCCATATGTTCTGTTCACCTGCTCAGCAATTCAGTGGAGTCTCCTTAAAGTCTTTGAAGTACAGTTTGTAATACTCACTGGATTCAGGGTTGACTGTAAATGTAAGTTTTTTCTGCTGGATGGTTTGGCTATAATTTTAAGAATAAACTTCTTCTAAAATTGTACTCGAGATATCTTGTTTGCTTTTATTTTCTTTTGTTCCAGGTAATTGCTGGATTGTGACTGCTAAGAAAGGGGGTCACTTTGAACATCCCAGAATGAATCTTTATAATTAACATAAGTAAAGTAAACTGGTTTGTCTAAGGCTAACTGATGCACCACTTGGGAAGTTGGCACTCCTCACTGGACTGAAAAGTCCTTGTTTTGCAGAAACAATCTAGTATTTGACAAATGCTTCCCAGCTTCAAATTTCACTTCTTACATGTAAATTAAACCTGTGGAAAGGAGTGACTCTGCCTCAAGATTATCTTACTGTTTTTTGTTAAGGACCTGACTCTTCTGGCCAGGATACAGTGGGACAGCTTGTCAGCTGTTGCAATTTAGCTGAGCTACATGAGAGTCTGGCCAAAAGATTTAGAAATGGTCTCTTTCAAGTAGACAGCAGACACCAGAGATATGCCAATGTATGTTAATTAAGAATCCAATCATAGAAATACCTTAATAGTAGTATTTGGTATTGGATTTACTATTCTGAAAGGTGTCATTTAAAAATGATCACACTTCTCTTCTCAGTGGAAAGCAATCCAAGGAAAGAGAAGCAGAGAGAAAATGAAGGCTTAGAGGCTGAAGCTGAAACTATGGTAGGAGACATTACTTTAAGCCATTTAGCACATGACTAAAGCCCCATGTGGACATTTCAAGACAGAAAATAGGCCAGATGAAAGCAAAGGTGGAAGAATATTCACAACTGAGGCAGACACAAGAACAAATTGGCAGAGCATTTTTAAAAAGTCCTCAACAGACCCACCCTGCCTCAGTACCAGTTTTGCTGAAACATATGTGCCCCAACAACTTGACATTCATATCAGTCCAATAGGAATATTAGAAATACAGGTAATAATCCAAGAAGCTGAAAAGCAGGAAAGTGGCAGGAGACAACCAAGACAAGGAAAGAAATCACCGGGACAAAACTGACAGCTGTTTAATGAAATCTAGGGAAAAGAAACCCTTCCTTGAGGCCTGTAAACATGGAATCATTGTCAGGCTACCCAGAAGAGTGACTTTACTGACTGCCACATCAGAAGATGAGTCAAACTGCTCTCTGTCATAGAGAAAGACGTGTACAGTGTCACACTACATAAGATTAAAGGCAGTGAATGTAACAGCAGTCTGGATACAAGCTGAAGACATCCTGTGTAGATGAGTTGAGGATCATCATAGAAGACAAATGGTAGGCTCCTCTCATCATCAGTTTCATTAACTTTCAAAAGGCACAGAATCATAGTAAAATGAGGGTTGGAAGGGACCTCAGGAGGTCACCTAGTCCAACCCCCTGGTCAAAGTAGGACCATCCCCAACTAGATCATCCCAGCCAAGCTTTGTCTAGCTGGGTCTCAAAAACTTCCAATGTTGAAGAGTCCACCACCTCTCTGAGTACCCTGGTCCGGTGTTTTACTACCCTCCTAGTGAGAACAATTCTTCCTGATATCTAATCTATACTTCCCTTGCTGCAACTTGAGACTTTCTTTGTTGCTTCTTGTTCTGTAATCTACCAGGGCTGAGAACTGTCTAGATTTAGAGCCTCCCTTCAGGTAGTTGAAGGCTGGTATTAAATCCCCTCTCAGTCTCCTCTTCTCTAGACTAAATAAGCCCAGTTCCCCTACTCTTCCCTCATAAGTCATGGCCCCCAGGTCCCTCACCATTTTTGTTGCTCTCTGCTGGACTCTCTCCAATTTGTCTTTCTGTAGTGGGGGGCCCACTGAACACAGTACTCCAGATGTGGCCTCACCAGTGCTGCATAGAAGG